GCGCACACAGACACAGGCAGAAGAAATACAAGTGTGTTACACTAGATGACAGAAATTCTCCATATTCCTGATCAGTCCCTAACCAAAGGGTTTTCAGATTTTTAGCATTTTGCAAGAAAGCCCCACTAACTAAGCTGACGTTAGTCAAGCCGAAGTGATGAAGCTGAGCTCTCCTACAGACTGCACCCCGGCAGCCTCTCCTCACCCAAGCATTGTCCCTGTCACAGCGTGAACCACAGCTGGTACGACTGAACTGTGAGGCTTTGCTGTGCCCAAAGACACCAGAGAACAAAAACCGAGTGAAATGGTAGAATGGGAAAACAGGGTGCAGAGAATCTGAAGTTTCCCTTCTGGTGCCAGGCTCGTCAGAGGCTTCTCCTGAAAGACTGAAAGATGCAGCAGAGATGAGGGCCTGGATTGAAGACTCAGATCTGCCCCCCTCTAGTTTCCAATCTCCAGGCTAGTTTGGGCTGGGTTTTACAATTTCGCCATTTCCATTTCTCGTGGAAAATCGTCATTTCCAGCAACCAGTAGCCATCCCCTGTCTCTAGCCTTCACAGTTACTTCTATTGCTGATGAGCACCTAGCTGGGCTAGTCTGGACTTGATTTCAGTTTTGTTTTTAGTGAGGTCCCAATTAAGTGAGGAAGCTAAGTGCTTGCAAGCAAACCAGTGATCCCAAAGGCTTTGAAAGGGCTTAGTTGCTGGAGGAAGGGCTCTAGCATTCTCTGCAGACATACCTGACTGTTCTGTCGACTGTACCTCCCTTCACAGGATTTAGCTGAGATTCGTATTTCTCTCTTGACAGGTTTGGCAGCAAAGAGGAATATATGTCCTTCATGAATCAGTTTCTGGAACATGAATGGACCAACATGCAGAGATTTCTGCTGGAGATTTCCAATCCAGAAACCATCTCAAACACAGCTGGCTTTGAAGGCTACATTGACTTGGGCCGGGAACTCTCCACTTTGCACTCGCTGCTCTGGGAAGTCATTTCTCAACTGGAGCAGGTACCTGGGGGGAATGGCAGGGGCAGCCTTGGAGGGCCGTGCGGCTGGGCCACACCAGCCAGCTCCCACATGCCCAGCGGGCATCGGGCTGGGTCTGTAGCTGGTACTAATGTTACTAGCACTCCCATGCCTGCTGCATTATGCTGCAGGGGTAGTTTATTCTTCGCATCCCTCTGGGGCAGGTGAGTATAGTTTGTTTTGCTGTTTATCGCATTGCAGAGGAGGGGGATTAGGATGAGGCACAGATGGGATGAGAAGGCAGAGCTGCTCAACATCAGGCCTTTGGTCAATCCCAGCAGATTCAAAAGATTTATTTTTAATTAAAAAGGTTTCTGTCTAGAAACCTGAACCAGATCCAGCCATAGCTGTCTCTTTTTTTCCTGTTCCTTTAATATGCTTTCTGCTAGGAATGCTTCCACCCCAGCAGCAAATGGCTTCTGGAGCCACATGCCTGGGGCAATCCATAGCCTCAACAGTGGGGGTAAATGATGGAGAAAATTAATGCTGCTAACAAATAATTCACTGCAGATTTTGCTCAAAAAAATGTCAGAATCCCACAGTTCTCTAACAGGAAAGCAAGATGTTGGTAATAATTCTACCCTCCTTTGTCTCCAGGGCATTGCAACAAAACTTGGGCCTCTGCCTCGGATTCTGAGGGATGTGAACTCAGCGCTCAGCAACCCGGCCTGCGTGCAGGTCTCGGTCACAGCTGATCACACTGCGTCCACTCCTAACGCCGGCAACAGCATCTCTGCTGGGCTACAGAAAATGGTGATAGAGAATGACTTATCTGGGTAAGAACATGAGAGGTGGCTTGTCCATACACCAGGGAAATACCAAATACTCAGCTACTACCAAGCCCCAAGCACCTCCAGGGACAGGCAAAACAAGGTGTAGTGTGGGGTTCCCTGATCACTGGCTTTCTGACTGCAGAGCAGGTCCTGCCTGTGCTGTCCGTGTGCCAGAAAACGTGCAGGAAGTGCAAGTTCTCCATCACGGATCCACCGTGAGGCCTGCTGCTGGTCTCAGCCCTTGGCAGGTCTCTGAGTGAGCAATTTAGGGCCATGTGAGTCTGGACATTTCTCTAACCATTCTCAAGTTAGAGAGGCTTAATAAACAATTCCATTCTATTCTGTCCATTTTTTTTCTAATGAGCTGTGATTCACAGTCACCCAACACACTTTTTGGCCTAGTTATGTAAGTGTGTTCATTCATAGGGAAGCTTGGTCTGTCACAGACCTACAATGTTCTCTTCATGAAAAATGCAGCAGAGCACAATTAGAAAGACTGCTAATAACTTAGTTTGTAAGTGGAAACTACATGTTATTTAAGAGTTTAATTAAGAATGAAAGACAGTAATAGAGCTGGACTTGCTGTAATCAGAGCTTTCATCTCTAATGCTTCCCAGCATGAGGTATGGTTATTTAAATTTGAAGCTGTGGAGAATCTCTGACAATAAGCTCTCTCCCAAATACCTGCTTATAGTGCTCCATTTTTGATCACAGGCATATTCGTATTTTGCTACTGCAAGGCTCTTTCTTCTTACTGTCTTGAAATCAATACTGCATGAATGAACCCGTTACAGCAGGAGGAATGGGCAGATAACCTTCAGTTGCCAGGATTTAGCTATGCTGCTGCCTAGAAAGCAACAGCCAGAGCTATTATCGATAGTAATTGTTAATTATTTGCATCGCATAGATCCTTGGAGGCCTAGTCATGGAGCGAGACCCCGCAGCACTGTGCGAATACTGGGCAGCATGTCCCCAGAGCTTCCTGCTTAGGTCTAGAACAGGGAACAGGAGAAGGGATGCAGTGACATACGCGGGAGATCACAGCCAGTGAGAGCAGCCCCTGGGAGCACATCCCTGCAGGGCTCCTGTGCACCGGGCAGCCCTGTCACACACACTCACGCCCTTGCTCACTGCTCTACGCTGCTCGTTCCCCCCGGGTGGGCCCAGGACTCCTCCGCACTCTTCCTCCTCTCTGCACTCCTGCTGCGCTGTCCCTCTGCGCAGGCAGGGCCCAGCTGGGGCAGGGGACTTGGTTGTGTCCCTGCTCCCACAAAGCTGCACCATGCTGATTTCTTCTGAGTGATAATGTTTTCCTGCTCCAGTGCAGCATTCACAACTCTTCTTTTTTTTCTTTTTTGTTTCCTCTTCCTTACGCACTGACTTCCCCGCAGTCTCATAGATTTCACACGGTTACCATCTCCAACCCCTGAAAACAAGGACTTGTTTTTTGTCACAAGGTCTGCTGGGGCTCAACCCTCACCTGCCCGAAGCTCCAGTTACTCAGAGGCCAATGAGCCCGATGTGCAGATGTCTAATGGCAGCAAGAGTTTGTCCATGGTGGACTTGCAGGACAATCGCCTCTTGGACAGTGGAGCAAGCGCACCTGGCACTTCTGACTCCCTCAATGACAGCCAGTCATCGCTGGGGCAGCTGCAGGGCGTGTGGGGCACACGGACTCAGCAGAGCAGCGTGCCGGCCATGGCCACCGTGCGCCGCGTCGGGCAGACGCCCACCACGCCGAGCGGCGAGAGCGCGCCCGGGCGGCCCCAGCTCCTGGCGCCCCTCTCCTTCCAGAACCCTGTGTACCAGATGGCAGCCGGGCTGCCGCTCTCCCCGCGTGGCCTGGGTGACTCTGGCTCCGAGTGCCACAGCTCGCTGAGCTCGCACCGCCGGCCGGCAGGGCCGAATACCCCCGCCGCCCCCGCCGCCGCCGCCCGTCACGCGGGGAAGGACACCCCCGTCGCTGCTCAACACGGTGCAGTACCAGAGACCCTCCAGCGGCAGCATGATGTCCTCGTCGCCCGACTGGCCTGGCAGCGGCGCCCGCATCAGGCAGCAGTCTTCCTCCTCCAAGGGCGACAGCCCTGAGATGAAGCAGCGCACGATGCACAAACAGGTTAGTTGTGAGGCTGCACCCAGGAGAGGCAGCCTCAGCGGTGGCACGAACTGGGCCAGGGTCCTGAATCTGGGGGAAATACTGGCCATGTGGGGATTGCTGAATGGGAGGGAAGGTCACACCGGTTTTCAGTCACTCTGTCAGTGCGAGCACCATGGTGGCATGTGCATATGGGGCTGCACCTTGGCTCTTGCACTCAACTTGGTCTGAGAAGGAGGCCCTCCATGGAAGGGGACACGGGAGTGGTTGTTCCCCACGTTCCTCCATCCTGTGGGGCATCGCAGCGTGGCTGCTGCAAGGCAGTAGCTGGTGGAAACACGAGAGCGATAGCAGCCCTGCCTCCGTCCTGCTCTACCATCTCGTCACTGCTTTGCCTCTCCATGCACAGGCTGTCATCCCATGCCATAGTCAATCCAGCACCATCTCACGGACTTGGACCAGGTCCTAACCTTCCGTTGTAAATAAAGAGTCTCTGCGCTGTTGTTACTGTTCCACCAGAGCTGCAGGGCTCCCGGACACTTCTGTGCGCTCTTACAGACCCCCCTGTAAGGGGACCTGGCAGGTGAGAGTGGTACGGAGCAAGTGCTTTGCCCATCAAGAATGAAGTTGCTGCTCTGCAGGGCTCTGCAGTGCTTCAGGTCTCACAGAATGTGCTGGTCTGCAGAGAAAGAAATTCTGCTGCTTATGGTGCTAAATGTGAAAGCAGTGGGTCACAGGCCTAGGACCTTCTGATTTCCTGGCATGGGTGACCTGGTTATTCATTTTTTAGGGAACTAACCCTATGGAAAATCAACACAGTAGGGATTCTCACTGACTAAAGGAAGAGTTTAAAATGTAATATAAACCCAAAGAATATGGACAACTGGCAGGAGCTCATGGCATCTCACTTCGGACATGGTAGTAAGGCTCCTTGTAAGCTGAACAGTGCTGAAAGAGCAGTAGAGAGCTGGATAACTACCCTGCCTTTCAAGGCAGCTACAGAGGCCTTTGTCAGTGCTGCCCATTAAAGGCTGTTTTATCAGCCTGATCTGGAGCTGTTCTGTGCTCAGGGTATTGATTCGTAAGCACTGACATTAGCAAGCATGCCATGTAGCAGCATTTGTATAATGTGGATCAATACTCATTAGGTACAGAGGGCACAGAGCTCTGCAAAGCAGCAGCCTGTTTGGTAGAAGAGTTTCTTCTAGAAAGAGAGCTGAGACCTGCTTGTGACCTTCGAAAAGCTCTGGCAAATTTGTGTTTGCAAATCTTTCATCCACCCTCTAAGGTTCCTCCAAGAGCTCAAGTCCTGGAAATGCTTCTCCTGCCCTTAATCTGCCTATTTTACTTTATGTTAGAAGCATCCGTAAATCTTAATGAAACTGCTTGTTCATAGTTAGCAGTATTTTATGTGGTTTAAGAAGAAAGTAATTCCATGAGGTGGCCATTTCCCGAAAACACTGCAGCCAGCCGGAAGCTCCCCTCTGCCTCTGTGACTTCATCTCTTGGACTGAGTTTAAAATGGGCTGGGCCACATCAAGCTCCTGTTCACTTCTTCAGATAAGGCAGAAAGAGGCAGAATGACTCATGCACAGTGGTCTGAGCTCTGTTAAATCGTCAGTATTGGGCCGCTGGTCCTTATGTCGCTGACATGAACCACGATGGGAACTGCCCATGTTCCTCATGAGCAAAAACCTGAGCAGCTGTCACAGGTGCCTGAGCTGAAGATGCAAGAAAGAACAGAAAGGCACAAGTCAGGGGATGTGACATTCCATGAGCCAAGTCTGAAACTTGAGATTCAAAATTCTGGAAATACAAGCCCAGAGTGGAAGATGGCATGGGAAATTTCCCAACCCCAGTAAGGTGCTAAAACCAGTCCCCACTCTTGCAGAGTGCTGCAAGATATGTTCTGCTCCTGCTGCCAGGGACTGGGTTTCTTTACTGTCCAAAAAGAAGAGGAGGAGAACGGAGGAGACAGTCCCTTGTCTTTCTGACTTGTTAACTGGGTTCCTCCTGGACAGATCATCCAGTATGTGTCATGTTCAGCCTCAGAAACTATTTACCGCAGTTTACGACCAGCAGGATGGAGGGGAAGTAGCTGCAAGTTCACTTCTTCAAGGTTTTAATGTGTTTGGAGAATACTTAGGTGAAGATTCAGTTCGATATTCCCAAGCAGGGAAGCAAAGCAGCAGCCGCGGCTCTAGCTCAGCGCCACGGCACGGCACACTCGGCCCGGCCCCTCCGCTTCCCTAGCTGCATAAACTAGTCCTAGCTGCATGTGAACTATAGAGGTGCTGAGCACTCAGACCTCTCCTGCCTCATACCCATACAGTCCCGTCCAAAAAGAAATCTTTATTTTTGGAGAACGTACCAGCATGACCAAAAATAGTATCTCAGTTTGCAGATCGGCTTTTGTGTACATGGAATCTCCATAGCAATCAAAAAGGCAGCTCAGTAAAGCAGTCTGAAGAGTTGAGTGAAATCTCTGCTTGCCTGCAGCTCTACACCTCGACAGGTCACGTCTTCTGAGGTGACAGCAGGACCTAAGAAACCAGGCGCTGTTAATTCAACTGGGTCCCCCCAACACGCAGCTTCATAGGACTGTTCTGTGGGGTGACAGACAGAAGAGCTGGGCCTACCAAAGGGCTGCCTGGTGTTACTGACCCAAAATAACAAGAGGTGCATTAGCAGGGGTTGTTCATGTTCCCTGCCAGGCCCCTCTGGTAGCTCAGACCTGTTCACTGCTGTTTGAGCAGCATGGGAGAGGGCTTGGTTGGAAGGATATTCTCTTTCTAGCTTCACAACCTTTTCCGTTACAGGCTTTGCTTTTGTTATGGTTGTATGTTTCATTGTAGGCCCCTTCTCCTGTGAACCCCAATGCCCTGGACCGCACTGCTGCTTGGCTTTTGAATATGAACATGCAGTTTTTAGAAGATGAAAGCATTGACCCAGATTCCAAGCACAGGGATAAGCTCAGGAATAAGGACGAGCTCAGCCAAGCAGAAAAGGTAAAACCTGATTGGATTTAAACAAGTTTCTAACTAGAGAGAGGGCTTCCTTAACTGTTGTTTGCCTGAGCACGCTGGGGCGAGGCGGGCTGTGTGGCACCTCACTACTAAAATGTGGCAGATGTTTGTGATAGTTCAACCCACTTTTTACTAGCTTTCTCCTCCAATATTCTTGCAAAAACAGAAGTATGAGCCAGAGACTGAACAGATAGCAGCTGACCGAAAAAAAGCCCTGTAATTAGCAGACTCTATTTCCAGGTGTATAAAAGTCTTGAAAAAGACGAGCACAGAAGGTAGAGCCCTTTTCCCTAGCAGACACGCCAGTAGACAGCAAATGAAAGAGAAGGTGCTGTCAGGCTGGTTTATCCTGCAGTGGGTTATTGCTGCATGTGGTCATTGCAGCGCTTCAGGAAGGGCTCAGTGCTCGTTTGAATCTGGAGACGAGCGTGAGAGGCTCTGCTCCCGCCCTGGAGCGGGGCAGGGGGTGAGGTGATGCTGACGAGCCCACGCGGACAGCAAGTGCTTGCCCGCCCCAGCTCGCGGCTGCCAACTGGGCAGGAAGGCACGCCGGGGTGGACACTGTGCATGCCAAGCACCGTCACTAACCGCTTTTCCTGGCAACCTTTCCTGTGAAATGGGCTCAACTTTTACCTGGTGGGCACTCGCATGGACCCCTCCACTCCCCTTCAGGCTGAGTGGCCGCTGCCCCATGGGGAGCGCCGGGCTCACCCTGCCCTGCACACCGAGGAGGTTGCAGTGTGGGGCCCTGCCCAGGCAGCCTAGACCGTGTCAGGATTATAAATTCTGACAGTATTGCAGCAAGTCCTCCCTGCCACAAGTTCAGATGTAGCCCCCACAGGAGCCTGGTGTCTCATTCCCATGCAGCATCTTTTGTTATTTTGTTGTCATACCAGTCACAGGCATTAAAGATCTTCATTAGCATAATCTTTCTCCCCATTACTGTAAGCCTTGAATAGTAACCAAGAATGAGACAAGTGTTCTAGAGACAGGAACAACTCCTACGGTCTCTGAGGCCTCTCCTGCTATCATTTGAGCTCACTTACGCTGCTCCTATTTTAAGGCTAGGGTAGGTATTCAATCTTTCCTGTTTGAGCAACTCCCTTCTGTCTGACTGCAATGCTTCTGCGCAACTCTATGGGTGTTTGTGTCCCCCATCACGCCAGGTTGTGTGTGCAAACTGTGGCCTGTTAGTGCTTTGCTGAAAGCTTTGCCTAAAGGAAAACTGCAGTGATCTGCTGGGACTGACTCTGCCCAGGCAGAAGGAGCTCATAGGTCATTCCCACTCTGCCTGCCGTGGCTTGAATGCTTTGGCAATTCAGGAGACCATCAACATGATACCTTCTCAATCCAAATGAGCCACAGTTACTTTTGCTGTCAGCCAGCCAGTCAATTTGTGGAGTGTTTTGTTGCTAAGACAGCTGTGTGGATTTGCATGTGCGGGGAGCTGGCTGAGTGGGACACGTGAAGCAGAGCGCCACGTTCCCCTCTCACAAAGAACTGATCTTTTAGTAAAACTCCCCAGCAGGACTCCCAAAATTAGGACTCCACAAACAGGTTCATTGTTCGAACGTTTGCACAGGTGGAGATGGCCAGACCTATTAAAGGCCATACTTCAGCTAATGAATACAAAACGGAGTACATCTCTGTTGGCTCATGAATAACAATGTAGCCTTTTGTAGGATGCTTTAAAGCATATTTGAAAAATCTTCCTGAATCTGATCCCTTCTTGTCTCAAACGCTTTAAACAGCTTGTCAAAATATCAGCTCCATGTTAATTATTCTAAGGGTTATGACAGTTGAGATTTTTTTAAAACAACTTTCAAAGATAAGTTTTTGAAATATAGTCTCTTTTCTTTTGTACAGATATGCACTGGAATTTTCCTTTATCAAAGCAAGCTGTACTGTATGCAGTACTTCTGCAATTGCTGAATCCAATTTTACTGAGTTAGAAAGCTCTCTTTTTTTTTTTTGTAATTGTTTTATGTGATTCTTTCACTGCTACTGATTTGAGCTCCATGTGTACAGATAGTACAATCTGTGGGGTTTTGGCTTCATGCAGCAGCTCTTCTCCCATTGAACCCTGGTTTGATCTCTGACTGCGTTGTTTGAAATCCTGGACCGCAGTGAGAGCCCACTCATTCAGTCTCTGATCAAAGTGCCCAGCTCCTGCTGTGCTGGGAGCCTGTTGACATCTCTTCCCTTCTGTGAAAGCTAAATCTGGCCCTGCCTTTGCTTCCGCGGGCTGCAGTCCACTGATGACTGGCTATATATTAGCTCAAATCCCCTACGGATGCTAGGTGGAATTAGAGCCACACAAGGGATAAGTGACCAAATGGAGAGCCATCTGGCAGCTGATGGATGGCCCGCATGAGATCAGTTTGACGGTGCCCGTGGAAAGGCTTTTACTTTACAAACCCAATGCACGCGTTGCCGAGGGGACAGCCTCAGAGGAGGCTGTGCTGATGGGGGCAGCACCCTGCACTGCGCAGCCAGCGGGGCTGCTGCCACCCCAGGGCTCTGTCCTCCACGCCTGGGGACCTGCCGGCACTTCCCAAGACCTGTGACCGCTTTGCTGTGAGGCTGGAATGACCCACATCAGTTACTGCAGCAGGGTCCCCTGCCTGGCACAGAGGGAATCGGCATCAACAGCTCATGCTCGGCCTTCAGCAACTCTGAAGCACCCTATGTTTATTGCTGCAGATTGTGGAGCTCATGTGTAAACCCAAAACCCCACAAATGCAGCTTTTGTGCCTGCGTTTAGCTCTGCACTGTTAGTTTGAGGAAGATCTCAGATGCATTTGCCATTGAGTCACTCTAACCTGCATCCTCATGCGAAATGCCAAACTCTGCTAACCACCCACTCTCTGAACCTGCCAGTGACCTGCCAGTCCAGAGGAACGCGGCATCGCTCCTAACGCGGCACGAAGACGACGGCAGAAGTGTCACAGCAAGCAGGGTTATGTGGTGCAGTTTTGCAGATAGGCCAATGCAAGGAAAAGGGCAAGACTGGGTTGCAGGGCAATCCTGGCAAGGGCAGCGCTTTACTAGGTAACATGCCACGTATGTTTTCTCCTCCTCTGTCTGTCCTTGCGTACTGTAGTACCAGCAGGATCTAGTAGTGCTTCAGGACAAGCTTCGCATCTCCAACAAGAAGCTGGAAGAGTATGAGACACGGTTCAAATGCCAGGAGGAGACAACACAGAAGCTGATGCTGGAATACCAGGCCAGGCTTGAGGAAAGCGAGGAGAGGCTCCGCAGACAGCAGGAGGATAAGGAGATCCAGATGAAGGGCATCATCAGCAGGTACAGGGAAGAAGGGGGTGTGAGTGGTGTGGGCCAGAGGAAGGCAGGTGCTGACGCCTGCTTCTCTGGAGGGGCGGCAGGTTTCCCGTGTGCACATCTGGTGTTTGTTCCATTGCTGCCCTTCTGGGTTACAGCCCCTGGAGGATTCCTAGGCTGAATTCTGCAGACCCTGAATCTTTGGGTCTCACCCAATATTGTCATTTGGGAGAGGCAAATTTTCTTATTTTCCTGACTCTCAGAGGCAGAACTTTGGAAGGGAGTTGGGGCTGGTGACCAGCCCTAGCTCTCAGAGATCTGGCAGGCTGGCTTTTCTGTTGTCTCAGAAGTAGATCTAATGATTGAGATGTTCTGATATTTAGCTGAAGATCTCATCACCATCCCATTACTCAAAAGGTGTGAATCTCTTCTCCCACCCAGGATAATGTGTTTATTCTCCTCTAGCCATAGACTTTTCCAGTCCAGCTAGATTCATCTTTACCTGAGCCAAGTGAACTTAGATGTTTCAATGTGCCTTCATAAATCAGCCATGCTTAGCTCTTCCTTTCCCTTAAGCATCTGGGCAGTCCGTTATAGAAGTGTCTAGAGAATTAACACCTAGGGAAAAAGATTCTGAAATACTGGTGTGTGTGAGAGAGGAAGCAGTGGCAATGACTGCATGTCTTTTCATGCTTGAATGCACAGCTGCAGGTACTGAGAGCACCTCAGTGCGTGCCTCAGAGTGCAGTTTCAAATGAGAGGGCTCAGCCTTTTATGGATGATGGAGGCTGCTATACAAGGGCTCTTCCAGCTGCAGGCTCGTTTCTCTGCTATTTCACACCTCTTGGTATTATGCTTCAGAGATGTACATCACCCCTTTGCCTCCTTCACTCCTCAGGTGTCAAGAACTAAATGAGGGAGTGATCTGAATCATTCTCCATGGGTGGCCGATTTAGATATATGTAAGACTAAGGCCTGGGCAGCTGGATGTGACAGAGACCAGCAAATGTAATTAATGTATTCTTGACACTGCATGCTTGCTACAAAAGGCCGTTACCTTTCCAAGTGTTTGATCCTTCTAAGAAGTGATCAAAGCAATCTTGCCTTAGTGGTAAAAACAGCCTCCTGGGTCCCTATCAAGCTGTGCAGGAGCTAGAAGCATGCATGGCTTGGCAGAGCTGCAAGACAGGGAATGGAATTTCCTCAATGGAGCAGATGAAGAAATGCTCTGGGGTGCATCCAAGGCACTCGGACAACCCCATTTGTTTGGGGGTGCTTTGGATTTGGGGGGTTGTTTTTTGTTTTGTTTGGCTTCTTGTAAAGAAACCATCTGCTTTGGAGCCACCAACTCCAAACCAACCTGTACTATCAGGACTATCAGGAGTCTGGGGAGGTGAGAAGATAGAGGGCTACGGGATCCTTCCCCCTGCCCCTCCTCCTCCTAGCACTCACCCTACCTTTTTAAGCAATACAAACCACTTTTCAAACAAGGCCTGTGTGTTCAGCATCCTAAAAGAATGTGTTTTTCTTGCCTGTTCTGCTGCCAGACTGATGTCAGTTGAGGAGGAGTTAAAGAAAGACCATGCAGAAATGCAGGCTGCTGTGGATTCCAAACAGAAGATTATTGATGCACAGGTGAGTCCCTGATGCCAAAAACTCCAGCAGCTTTCAGGGTAAGTCTGCCACCCTGAAACCTTCTGCCACGCAGCAGTATCAGGTCAAGCATAGCAAGACTGCCCTGCATGCAGAGTAAAGGCAGTAGCTGCTTCAGCCTTGGGTTGTGGCTTGCAGAACTAGGATTAGCTCTATAGAATCCAACAATAGATGGGGAGTGCATTATGGAAAATCTAAAAATATGGTCATCATCTCTTAATTTGTGTAGGTAGAGATCAATATATTCTCAGCAGCTAGACCTGAGATTTGCAGTGCTACTGTATTCTAGGATTAATTTTTATAGACAATTTTAATCACTTGTAGGTCACCAGTCAAGCTAATTTACTCTATAGGTAATTTAGAAGTATTATCAAACAGTAGCAGACTTCTTGAAAAAGAATCACTGTTTTTCTGTAGTTTGTTCAAAGCTTGTAAATCAGCATGTTCACTTCTGCACGCAGGGAGAGCCGAGCAGATCAGGGGAGCCATTGGGATCTGTGCAGACTGAGGACTGCCACGAGCTCTCGCCAGTCGCTTTGTCCCAGGCTGGTGCCACCCTGTGTGTTATGTGCAAAGCTGTTATCATGAGCTCGCTACATCGAGAGTTTTTAGCTTTTAGTCATCTGAATCTGTACAACGTCAGGCATGGTCAGAAAAAGCTATGCACAAACTGCTTTCACTCCCTCTTGCTAATGGGCAGACCAGGGAAGGGAGGTGACTTGTTCAATGTCACAAAGAAGAGCAGTGGGAGAATCGGATTGCAACACAGAAGCATTTGCTCCCAGCCTTACAATATTGCAGAGTACCTGTAACAGTAGTCAGTGAGAGCAAGGACTTGCCATTATGGATGTCCTGGGAGGCCACGAGTCATTTAAACTATTAATTTACACTAACAAAATCAATTAAATGCTGACATAAATAACTATCTTGAGAGAGAATGAAGCAAGGTTCCCCTTTTGAAATCTAGCTAACAGCTACAGATAGACTAGAAATGGTGCAATGAATTTCATAACTGAGAATTAGATAAACTGCTTTGTCTCTATTTTGTTCAGGATTGATTGGAACATGATGAATTTAAAATGAATTTAGCTCTAATTCCACTTGTTTAAAAGCCCAATGCACTAAGAACCTCTGTGGGACAAGCAGCTAATCACAGAGAACTAGAAAGAGGCTCAGATAAGCAGCATCGCTCGGGATAAGAGCTGGTTTAATAGGGCTTGCCTGTTGCCAGTGCAGTTCTGAGAATGGGATGGAGACCAGAGAACCTTCTACCTGACATTGCGACAGGAGTCACACACAAACCAGCATATTAACCCCCAGGGACTGTTGCTCTTCTGCACTGGCCCAGAATTTTAGAGGCTTTCAGTGTAGTGTCACGGAAGGGAGCCCATCGGAGCTCAGACAGGGACCAGCCACAGCTGTGAAGTCTGATTGAGGCTTCTGTGTGTCGCTGGCTTGGAGCACAGCAAGAGCTCACTTGCCTCTGCTTACCAGATGACTGCTTGCTCGGCAAGCAACAGGTAAAAACATGGGCTACACACGTTTGCAGACCTGTTAACAGCAGTGGGTTTCAGGAAATAATGCCCTTAAAAACAACAATAACAAAAAAAACCCCAGCAAAAACACCAAAGAATGTCAAAGACGACGTCCTGGTGCAAGAGATCCCTTTGGAACTAGCTCTGGCATCAGAGTCAGGTCTCATGTATTTCCACTTACTTGTCCTTTTGCCTGTTTGTTTGCAGGAGAAACGCATTGCTTCCCTGGATGCTGCCAATGCACGGTTAATGAGCGCCCTTACTCAGCTGAAAGAGAGGTACAGCATGCAGACACGTAATGGGATCTCTCCCACAAACCCAACTAAATTGCAGATTACAGAGAATGGCGAATTCAGAAACAGCAGTAATTGTTAACGCGTGGAGGGCGCTGCCGCAGGAGGAGGCCTGGCCAGACAGACCGTGCAGCAGCAGGTGTGAGCCCCGGCTTCAGAGAACGGCTGCTCTCCCCCCCAGAGAATCCAGCTCCTCACTGCGAACCGCGCACTTGACTGAGCCTTTGTGGGAGATGCTAATGCCAGCACACTGAGGGGACGAAAAGACCGAGTGTGAGATGAGTGGCATAAGGAAACACCATATATTTGAGAATCACTGTCACTGTTGGATTTAAATCAGTGTTTAATGTTTAAACAAAGTAACCTTTTCCTTCCAAACTGCCCAAAGGACATGCCTCAACCCTCCCGGCGAGGAACAGTGCCCTTGTCACTGCAGTAAGCAAAGGAAAGGGAGCTGGGCAGATCTGGTGGCAGGCAAGGCCCAGTCAGGGTAACTAGGGGGGTGTTCAGTGGGCAGGTTGCTGGCAGGAAGGGCGGGAAGGTCCTGCTGGGAAAGTGGAGCCCAGCGGTACCTGAGCCACCCCTGAGACTCCCCTGGAGCGCAGCCCTTGCTCCTCAAAGCAAAGCCAGAGCTCAGGAATCTTTTCCTACCTGGCTTCCCTGAGGCCAATCTGACATTAACAGCATGTGACTATCAGCAGGGCATTTACACAGCTAATTAGTTTTTAATTCACAGGGAGCATAGCCCCTAGGAGCGGTCAGGGCTCACTCTGCAGTGTGGTAGGTGTGTGAGGTGCAGGGGGTCACGGTGTCAGGGCACTGCAGCAGGATCTGACTGTACTGCTGGGGCTCCTCTCGTGGTTCCGGGATGGCCACAGGGAGCAGAGCCTGCTCAAAGCCACTGCATGCAGGCGGAGGGAATGGGAGCTGGCGTCTGGTGAGCACCTTCTCGTGTCCTCTCCTCTTTCTTGCTTCTCTCACAACTAATGGGAAAAAGGAAGGACAGTAATTCCAGCACATTGTGCCCTACAATAAGCTCTACAATAACGTAAATATTGCCTGAGCTATGAATGAGGCACCTCGGCTGGATTTCGTGGAGTTCACTGTGCCAGAGGGGGAGTGAAGGGCTATGTGAAAAGGCCAGGCCTTGCTTGACAAAGGGTTCGCTACGGGGATGTCATACTCTGTGTAGAGGTATGTTTTTAACTAATTGTGGGGAGAAAAGCAGGCAGACAAACAAGGAAAGCCCTCAAGAACCATGAAGATCGGTAATTGTATTTCTTTTCTTTCACAGTATGCATTAGAAAAAAAAACAGCCCATTTTCTGGAATACTGTCCTCTTTAAATTGGGAATGAGCACTGCATGGATATTAACCGTCTCGAAGAATGTAAAACTTGGTCATAAGGGAGTAACCAACAGGAACAGCAGCCACCACCGAAAGCCCCCTTGTCAGGAAGCACTGTGCAGGCATAAGCCAGGATTAGACTTTCCAAACTGCTGAAAGATGCAGCTCGGCACATTGAGACACGATGTGCTCAGCGGAGGGGTTGCCTCCTTAACGGGGGCTTGTGCCGCTGACCTGCCGCCACGGTGTGTTTGTCCGTTTGTGTTCTCTAAGTTAGTACTTTGTGCCGCCCAGGCTCAGAGCAGGCCACTCATACCAAGAGCCAGAGGTTTCTCTGAGATACGGATAACAGCGTACAGGACATCTGCCAATTCCTCCCACTAAAGTTCAATACACTGCTGAATGCTTGTCCTGGCTCCTCCTGCCACGTGTCAATGTGCAGCCAAAGGGCCTAGGATGTTCACTGAGCTCTGCACAGCTTAGGTACCATCTCCATCCGCACAGTACCTGGGCTGCCCGAGCAGGACGCTGTTTGCCAGAGCGCGTTGCGTTGCCACGCTGCCCCCCAGCCGTACAGCTCACTAACAGCGTTCTTCTACACGCAGCTCTGTTAGAAGGTAAAGATGCCTTTTTTCCTAAAAGCTTTTCTGCTCTCTGGACGGCCTGGGCCGAGTCCAGGGAGGCTGCACGTGCTGCAGCTGCAGTGCTGGGAGGAGTGAGCGTGTCGCTGTGCTCCGAGCTCTCCACACACAGCCAACGCCTGCAGCGCCCCAGTCTCACAGCACACCCCAAGGAGCTCCTCAGAGGAAAGGAATACCTAAGCGTTTATGGCATTTCAGTCACCTTTCAATTCTGGAGAGTTAGCACAGATGGCTTTGAAGAAGTTCACAAAACTGCCAAAGTTAAATCTGGAGAAAGACCCAGACAGGTTAGGAGATGCACAGGGTACTGTGACCAGTTTGGTACGTACACTTACCTCTGTCGTTGTCTCAGAGTCAAATACACTGTAAGAGCCTTGCAAAAAGACTATTTTAAACTGGTCTTGCCCTGAGATGTATTTTTAGAGCTGATTGTTTTTAAGTTCTGAAATATTTGTGTTGCAAGAGATGGAAGTTTTCTCAAGGGAAAAATAACAGACAAATGGAAACAGGAACATGTTTCCATTCATACATGGAAATTTGAGGATGCAAAGTCAGTGCTCTCCACAAGAGCTGGAAAAAAGAAAACACCCACAAAACAATTGTCCAGTGCTGAAGCTAACACAGTACATTTCATGTTCTGTTCAACCACAAACAAGCCAAGGCACCTCTCCCACCCCACCCACTCGCCCCTTTTTTTCTCTCCCAGAGAAACTTCAGGTCAACCTCTAACTTGCAAATTGCTGAATGCACACTGTTGTGTCAAAAGAGCAGGACTTGACTTAAGTCTTTGTATTTTGAGCTATTAAATGCTTAGAAGTTCCCGAGCCAACACTTTCTGGCGTTGTTGCTTAGTTTTCTGAGCCCATAAGAAAAGAAACAGAAATGAGAATGAA